AGAACACCAATGAATAATCTTGCCAAATTCATATGGTGACTCTATTTTTTGAACCTGTGAGCTAACCAGGAGAAATGTACATTGTCCCACAAAATAAAATGCAGCTGACCCTTCAACAACATGGATTTGACATGTGTGGGTCCACTTGTTCTCAGATTTTGTTCTTGGAGACCTGTGACAATTTGAAAAAACTCATAAATGATTCAGGTAACAGAAATATCAAAAAACCTAAGAGAAAAGGTATATCACAAATGCATAAAATATAAAAATAATGGTCTATTTTATCATTTGCCACCATAAATTACATACAAATCTATTATAAAAAGTTAAATATTATCAAAAGTTACACACATAAACACAGAATGTACATGGTTCCACTTATAGTTGAAAGAAATGTAAACCGACATACAGATGCGGTATTAAATCTAATTGCATAAAATTAAGTACAGTACATATTCTATGACCATAACTTCATAGACACCCCCTCTGCTATTGCCATGAGTTCAGGTATTGCAGGTAGTCGGTGTGATTCAAAAATATGGTAAATGTTTAAATTTTTAAAAATGTATTACAGTAAAAGGCATACTGTCATTAATCCCACTCTCAGTATTCCCCCTTATTTCAAACACTCTCATCCCATTGTTCCCGCCCCTTTCTGAAGCAGTTCTGGAAGTCCTCCGTCGTGAGTGTCTTTAGTTGTGCTGTCATGGCTGCCTTAAGGTCCTGAAACAATTCAAAGCATTTACTTTTCATGGTCATTTTGACCTTGGCAAAGAGCTAGAAGTTGCACAATGCAAGATCCAATGATTAAAACGGATGGGAACACACAGTGATGTTTTTATTCAACAGAAATCACTCTAAATGTTTTTAATCTATTCAAGACATTGGGGCAACCACAAGACCCTCATGAAAGAGGACTTCCAGAACTGCTTCACAAAGTGGCAAGAATGATGGGATAAGTGTGTTTGAAGCAAGGGGGAAGTTTTTGAGGAGGGTTAATGGCTATGTGCCTTTTACTGTAATTTTTTAATTTAAACATTCACTGCATATTTCAATCCTACCTTATATCAGTATAAAACACTATGTGATGCTGATCCTCTCTGCTGAGCAGTTTCTCACTCGCAGTAAAAATGATCTCTTCTGGTTCTCTCATATTTTTCACCATGTATGATACATATAGCACACAAAGTACATATTAAATGACTTTATGTTATGGTAAGCAGCAGGCTAGCTGGTCAACAACAGGCTACTAGTGAAGTTTTGGGGAAGTCAAAAGTTATATAAAATTGCTGTGCAGGCTATTGGTGCTCCTCACCCCTGTGTTGCTCAAGGGTCAAGTATATTTGAATTGGGGATGTCCAAAAAATCTTTAGTTATGTAAGTACACTAGACATGTGACCATGAGGCAACAGAACTTCTTAACCCCTCCTTTTTTTTCATAGTACATTGCAAGACAAGACTTCTGCAACTGCTCAATTTGGGGGCAAGCAGGAAATTATTAAGCAATAGTTGTACCATTGTGAGATTTCATGTTTTCTAGCACCTATTTGCAGCATATATATCCCAAACAAAACAAAACAAAAATTTTGAACATGAATAATTCAAGATGGCCTTGTCTAGTGAAACTCTGTATCATCTATAATGTTTTTTTAATGATTTTTTTATTCTCTTTAATGGTTTGAACTATCTTCCATTCTTACATCTGGTAATCTGAGCAACTTAGTTGAAGATAACAATGTGTAACATAACAACCACTGTTAATTCCTATCATTTTATTTTAAAACTCATTTTTAATGTTTTGCTTTGTTTTGTTTATGTCTGTGATGTTGGTATTTTATTATTGTTCTTTTTTTACTACTTTCTTTAAAATAAAATAAAATTAGTAATTCAAGATGGCTACTTCCTTGGTATTTAATTTCCCATAATGCACTAAACTCTACTTCATTCTTATTGCACAGTTGGGTCTCAAGGGTCCCAGCTATACTGAAGGTATTAATAGTTCTCAAGTAGGGCAGTGTAAGTAAATCTATAAGAAGTTCTCTCTCTCTTTCTCATACATACACACACACACACACACACACACACACACATACACATGTGTGCATGCATGCACGCACACACACCTAACAATACAACTATTAGAGAGAGCAATACAGTATTTCCTCTAATTTTTTTCAGAGAAATATTCTGAGTTTTGCTTCCCATCAATCCCTAACTCCTGACCTGATAGAACCGCCCTGAGGCCTGAGGATACAAGAGAATGACAAAAAGAAAATTTTGACCAGACTGAAAGGACCCAGAAGAAAACAGCTCAGAGGGTTCCTGTCCCATAGAATCACTTCTAACTCAGCCAAGTTCACCTCCCAGAAGCCCTTTGTGCTAGAAGACATCTGCAATTGCTTCTTCTCCTGTCCCATCCTCTGCCTTCTTCTTATTGCCTCACTCTGGAAAATCTCTCAGTCTTTCTTGGTGCCATCTGTGAGCTAGGAACTGCCCCCACCTCCTAATAAAAAACCTTAATCATGACCAATATGCTTGACAAACAGCAAACATGTCTATCCCTCATCATGATCTCAGAGTGCTTGGCTGTCCTCAAGAATCAACCTTCATTTGCTTTCAAACCCTTGTCTCAGTTTATATTTGTATTCAGTGAAGTATATCTTTTGTAAGACTATTATTTGACATATTTTTCAACTGTTTCTAATGACAGTAAAAATTTAAGCGCATCAGAAGCTTTGGTGGTTTTGTCTTGGAATTGTACATAACCATTTCACAGGAATATTTCAATTAGAAAACTTATTTCAGGGCAGGGATATAGCTCAGCTGCACAAGTGCCTGCTAGCCAAGTGCAAAGTCCTGAGTTCGATCCCTGGTAAAACAACAACAACAAAAAAAACTTATTTCAAATTCAAAGAACTGAGTTACAAGCTTCTGAAACACAAACCATTTTACAATCAGGAGGTGCAGGGCTGGGAATATAATATAGCTCAGTGGTAGAGCTTGTCTTTAGCATGTGTACCACCCTGAGATTGATCCCCAGTATTGCAAAAAAATAAAATAAAATAAAAAATCAAGGAGTGCTTATCACTCAGACAGTGTGGGATGGTGAGACTTAAGGTAATGGCCTATTACAAAACAATCAGTATGCATAATAATTACTTTTTCTTTTAATGAATCTTCTTTCATTAAAAGAATGCCTCCAGCTGATATCAAAATAGCAGTTGGTACCAGTCTGATGTATTTACTATTATAAAGAGAAATCTTCAAAAACATATACAAGGATGAAGAGAAAAGAATACTAAAGAAAAAGAACAGAGCCACGGGCAGGGAGCGCCAGTCTTCCAACCGGCTCACTCCCTGCCTCTTAGGCCCCCGGAGGGAGGGCCTCCTGTGCACGGAGCCATGGGCAGTGAGCACCAGTCTTAGGCTGGCTTGCTTCCTGCCTTGTAGGCGCCCGGAAGGAGGAGCCCAGGCACACAGGGAGCCACGGGCAGGGAGCACCGGTCTTCCAGCTGGCTCGCTCCCTGCCTCGTAGGCCCCCGGAAGGCGGGCCTCCAGCACAGGGGGAAACACGGGGTGGAGAGCGCTGTTGCGCACTGGCCCTCAAGCTGACCACCGCCACTTAATTGAGAACTACCATGACACAGAGAAACAATGACACAATTGGCCCACCATGCACTGGCTGCAGATGCCCACCCACAGATGTGTGTGAATCATTCAAACATGGAGAAACCCCTGGAAATACATGCCATACAACAGGCCACTCTTGCTCCTGCCACTGGGAACCAGAGAGGTCCAGAGTCAGCGGAGGAGCAACTGCTCAACAAGGACTCGGAGAACATGAGAATGCAGACTAAGCCTGAGGAGTCAGAGGTCTTGTGGACTGGGGTCATGAGAGCCGCTCAGAAGCTGGAAACCAGGAGGACCTTGCACAATACCTGCAGAGACTCATTGGAAGCCATTCTTCCCCTGACAGTACAGGCTGTGGTGGAGCTCTGGAAAAGACTGCAGCATGATT